TTAATCACTTCCCTAATTCTGTATATTAATGTTTTTTACTTGAGAGACAGAAAAAGAGTAACACAGAGGAAGTGCTCCCACCCACTGTTTCATTCCCCAAACACCCGCAAGGTAGCGGGGACTCAATCCAGTTCTCCCGCACAGGGTGCATGGAACCCAGTTTCTTGAGCCATCACCACTATTCAGGGTCAGCACTGGAGGAAGGATTAGTCAAGAGCTAGAACTAGGAATCAGACTCGGGCACTCCTGTATAGGACCGAGGCATCCTTAGTGGTAGTGTAAGCACTAGGCCGAATACTCACCCCTATTTCTGTATGTTCTAGGTTATTGTCAATCTTCTTCTTTTATATGATGTTGCAGTTATCTTGTTTTGAAGATTGATTGATTCATTGATTGGAAAGTCAGAGTTAGAGAAAAGAAAAGACAGAGCTCTCCCATCTGCTCAGTCGCCCAGATGGCGGCAACAGCCAGAACTGGGCCAGGCCCAAGCTGGGAGTTTCATCTGGGTCTTCCATGAAAGTGACAAAGGCCCAAACACTCGGGCCATCTTCCATGCTTTCCCTAGGCCACTACAGGGAGCTGGATCAGAAGTGGAACAGCCGGCACTTGAACCAGCAACCGTATGGGCTGCTGGCTTTTCCCACTGCTGGGCTGTGCCCAATGCCGACCCCTGTAATCTTTTATTAGAAAGCTTTTTCCCAATTTTGGGATTAAGAAATTGACTTTTCAGTGGCCCCATGCTATCCCTTACCATCCTGCCTCTCCACACTGCTGATGTAATTTATGGCTTTGGCTTCTTGTTTGTTTGAAGTGGATCCCTTAAGGGTTGGCCTCCCAGTGTCTTCAATTATTATTTTAAAGGCTGCCTTGGGCCATTGCCTGGCACAGCAGCATCCTCACCTTCCCCACCTTCCCGCCCTCTCCCTGCAAGCACAGAGCTCAGCTGCCAAGCCGGCTGTGCTCTTCCTGTCCACGGAGCTGCCTCCAGAGTCCCAGCAGAGAGCCAGATTAACCCCTTTTGTTAGCGGAGGTAATTTTCCTGGGCTCAGCGTTAATAAGGAATGCCGAAAGCAGTTGGGGTCAGAAAGAACAGATCTGTCAAGCCCCAGGGTTAATTTAATAACAATCTGTTGGCTGTCTGGGTTGTGTATTAGCTTTGAATCCAATGCTATGTTTTGCTTTTGCTGGTTAGTTCTTTGGGATAACAAGGAAATAATTTGGGTAGAGAGTACAAAGAAATATGGAAGAGAAAATTGACTGTCAAAATGCTTCATTCCATCTTCAAGATAATACAGGCAGCCATGCATTGCTCATCTTCTTTCTCCTTCTTTCCCAAAATGAAGGGTGAACCTGCAATTGCTGAAAGCATGTACCTCCCTTTAGAAGACTATAAGGAAAAGGCTGGAATTCTAGAGGATGCAGATGTGAAACGGCCACCCCATCAACCCCATAAGCCACTGGGCTTTTACATTTTTGACAACTGGTTCTAACTTGCAAATATTTCTAGAGCTCCGCAAATCCTCCCTCAGATAACAATCCAAGAATTCCTTTGTCATGTTTCTTTCTCAACTTCTGGTTCAAAAAAAAGAATCTATCACTTCATAGGACATAAAAATTCTGATTGTGGAAAACAGGACCACCAAACTGGCAGGTGAATTAAGACAGCTCAGGCCCACAGAAAGGAGAAGAGTGGCCCTCGAGTTAGCCAGAGGTCCTTTCGAGACATCAGGAATGGCTGCAGTGGGAAGTCGCCTTGTGAGCACACTCGACAGGGGAGGCAGGGTGGTGGTGTTGTGAAGAAGCCAAGCTCCAGAGTGGGGCACACTTGAGCCCAAGTGTCAGCCCAGCTTGACAAGTGCTGAGACCTTGAGTCATGGATCTGCGTCACTGCTCCCTGCCCTGTAGGATGGGCTTGCTGGAAAACCTCAGCAGGCTGAGACGAGTGGCCAGTGAGACAAGACAATGTGCACTGCACAGGGCAGGCCTGGCCCATGATAAACATCAGCCGTGGCTGCTCCCTTCCTCTTGACTTTATCATTGCTGGTAAAAATACAAGGAGGGTACAGTCCGTTTATCCCCAGAGCCCACTGAGTCAAACCCAAGCAAGACTGCAGTTGTGAGACTCAGACCTGGAAGGGGAAGAGAGCCGATGACTTGGGGAGGAGGGCGGGGAAGGCCTGGAGGACCAGGTTGGATGGAAGAAAGGAAAAACCCGGAAGCAGCGGCCCCCACATACATCCAGTGAGCACAACTCTGTCACGGTGCCCCTGCTGATTGGGGGCTGTGCCTGGCTTCTTAGATTTGCTTAGGTATTTTGTTTTTCACATATCCTGGCTTTGGGGCTTTATTTTTAGGTGAGAAAAAAATAACTGTAGCTGTCACACCTCCCTCTCCCACACAGCAAAGCTCCCTTCCAGTTCAGCTTGTTTGCAGAGCTATCCCGGTGGAGGCTGAGAGAGCTGACGCCAGATTTTCTTTGCCTATTTCGGGAGAAGAGAAACGTGCTCACTGGCACCACAGGGTGACGCGGCTCTTTCTGGAGGGTGATAAACTCCACCAGCAGCTGAACGCTGACCGCTGCTTTCCCCTCCCCGTGTTGTGGCCACAAAGCCCAGTGCACGGGTCAGGTGGCTGGAGAGGACGTGAGAGCTGTGTCCTGGAGCTGCCCCCTGCGTGCCGCTGGCCCTTGCTCCCCAGCATGCCCTCACTGCAAGAACACTGGTGATCTGGCAGAGTCAAACTGACAGGCAGTGTTTTGTGAATTCACGGGACCCACATGCCCCGAAGACCCAAGTAATATTTGCACCTGGGTTTGGCAGGGGAGATTGAATGTAAGGAGAGCTCAGTCTCAAGTTAATCTTCCAAAGAACCCAACAGGAGGTGCAAGGCCTAACTGAAGGGGAAGGAGGCACCGCCACACCCACAGCTGTTGCTGTAGCAGATTGCGTGCTGCAACAGTTGCCGCAGGAGCATAGGTGATAGCTGGGGACAGATGACTCCTTTGCTAGTGGGGCTTCAAATACTGGTGCACTGGCACCTCATTTAAACTCTATAAAGAGGGGACTGTGCTACTTACATAGTGAAACGTACAGCTTGGATCCATGGCCGCCCAGTAGGATAGTCTGAATGGAGTTGTGGCTTGCCAATTCATTGCTTTGTTTTCTAATGTGCTGTACATAAACTCCTGGCACATACCTACAGCTCCATTTTAATTGTTAAGTATTTTCACATACATTCCTGAAAATGCAGTTCATTAAAGCCATACCTCTATGGGTATGGGATTACTGTTTAAAGGAAGCTATAGGTGGAGGAAAAAAGAGTCCATTTAAACTTGACAGAGAAAAAAGATTAAGTGAAAGGTATTACCTGATGCTACACACATGAGGCGGAAGTCAGACAGGGGCTCCCAGCTGGAGACGTCCGGGAGGAGGGGATCGTGGTGTCGCTCTGCTGTGTAGCAGTGTCCGCGTCGCCGGGTCTCCTTGCAGGAAGTTGCTGGGTCCTCAGTCGCCTCGGGTTAGGGTGTGAAGGGAAGAGGACGAGCTCAGTGCTTCACTCGTGCCAGGCGCCTGCACAAGGTGTTGGTTGAGCCACCTTTTCGTCAACGGAAGGCTGGATTTCATTCCACGGTATAAGATGTGCTCTGAAATAATAGAAGGATGATAATTCTTGATTAGAAAGTGCTCAGGGGAAGAAAACCATGAAAAAACTAAGAGTATAATCCATGGGAACCTAAAACTGTCCCACCATTTAACTGGACGGCTGCTTTCTGCTACTTAAGCTCCCACCCAAGACCTACATCAAATCACAAATTAGGGAGACTAAAACTTATATTTCTTAAATGAGAGAAAATTTGCATAAATGAGCAATTATAGATTTTGCACCCGGGATGAAATGTGAGGGTTGTCACTCATTAGCCAAGTGACTTGAGGCAAATTATTTTACATACTTAAAGCTTCAATTTCCACCTTTGAAAAATGGGGATAAGAGAAGTGTTGACCGAAAAATTATAAGGATTAGGGGCCAGCACTGTGGCACAGCAGGTTCAGCCACAGCGCGCGGTGCCGGCATCCCATATGGGCACTGGTTAGTGGACCAGCTGCTCCACTTCCATCCAGCTTCCTGCTAATGCATCTGGGAAAGCAGTGGAGGATGGCCCAATTCCCTGGGCCCCTGCACCCATGTGGAAGACCAGGAAGAAGCTCCTGGCTCCTGGCTTTATCCTGGTCTAGCCTTGGCCATTGTGACCATTTGGGGAGTGAACCCATGGATAGAAGATTCTCTCTCTCTCTCTCTCTCCTTCCCTCTCCCTGTCTCTCCCTCTCCCTGTCTCTCCGTGTGTGTGTGTGTGTGTGTGTGTCCTTCTCTTTCTGTAACTCTGCCATCCAAATAAAGAAATCTTTTTAAAAAATCATAAGTATTAAACGAGTTAAGGTACACGATATACTTTGCACAAAGACCAATAGTAAGTGCTCAATAAATGGTAGCAGCTGTTATCATTATCATCAACATTTTATTAAAAAGGTCTCTAAGAGCTCATGGAAGAGAACTGGCAGCCCAACACAGATCTCACTTATCAGACCAGGACTCAAATATTGAATTGTTGATTTGAAATGGGACCAATTCCTTAACCACTGTTATAAAATAGAAAGCAAAAGTCTTTGCAACTTGGCACATTTGTCATGATTGCATGACAGGTAACCTGGGTCATGAACGGTTGTCTTCTATGTGTCTTAAAGGATAAAACACTAATAAGGGGTCCAGAGACCCGAGTTCTAATGCTGCCTCTGACTAGTGGGTGACCGGGTCAGTTTATTAAAGTCCCCGAGCCCCATAAAATCTGCCTCTTTGGTAACAGTTACACGAGGACCTACTGTGCGCGTGGTAAATGCTAACACCTTACACCCAGATCAGGTGGCCCCGTCACTGAGCCTCACCCACACCCCACCCCAAGTGTCGGCCCCCTGCTGCTGGTTCCCTCCTTGACTCGCCCGTGCCAGACATCGTGGACATCAAGCCGGCCAACATGGAGGAGCTCACGGAGGTGATCACGGCGGCCGAGTTCCACCCCCACCACTGCAACACGTTCGTGTACAGCAGCAGCAAAGGGACAATCCGGCTGTGTGACATGCGGGCGTCGGCCCTGTGTGACAGGCACACCAAGTGTGAGTAGCAGCCTGGGGTGGATGGGGCGGGTGCGCCGCTGGCTCCTGCCATGCAGGGAGGTGGGGAGGCTTGGAGGTTGCCCTCATCTTTCAGACGGGCTGGGTGCACAGAGACCACATAGGCTGGCCTGAGTCAGGTCCCACTGCGTGCTTGGTATTGCAGTCAAGATGCAACCTCAGGTTCAATTCCAGGGAGGACCTCTGATGGGGAAGAGTTGGAATAACACCGTGGCAGGACCCAAAGCCTGAGCATTCTGGTGCCGTGGGGATGATGAGAGTGAGGGGTGGGGAGTCCAGAGACAGGAGTAGCCTGGACAGAGGTGCTATGGACTTGGAGCAGGGCAGAGGTTCTCGAAGGATCTTAGCAGCAGTTAACAGGACTTGCTATATTCTGTGGAGGCAGAGGATAGACAAGGAAGCAAGGCTGGCAGCCTGGGCTGGGGCGGGAGAGCGCTAATGGTTTCTTGCAGAGGTTGCGGCCGTGGGAACCAGCACTCTGGAGTCCCCGTGGTTCTAGGGGCTCGCAGGCAACGCTTCCTGGAGAAGGGAGTTCACGCAGAGTGCAGCCAGACTCACAGGCCCTCAGGCATTCAGGGCAGTGCCGAGCAAAGCAGCCCCAAAGCCCGCGGGAGCTGAGTGCTCGGGAGCAAGAGGCCAAGGCTACAAGGAAGCAGATGAAGCCTCTGACAGTGACAGCGAGCACTGAGGTGGACAGGACGGGCCTGGAGCCAGCAGCGAGGGTTTCTAGAAGTGACTGCTCCACATGGCAGTCCACGTGCGGTGTGTGCCCGAATACCACTGTACCGTCGCCGAGGTGGCCAGGAGAGGCCAGGAGAGGACCTTGTCCTGCCCCGGTCCCCGTGTGTACCTTGATTCTTGTGTGACGTGAGTGACACAGTGCTTCCTGAATAAGGCTAGGGAGGGATGGACCTCGTGTGTTCCCTTTGGTGATGTGGGGTGCTGGTCATTACCCAGGGTTTCGCAGCAGAGCTAGAATCTAGGGAGGTCCAGAGAGTGGATTCCATAGTCACACAGACCCAGGCCAGAACGAGGCCTCCGCCCTTTTGAGCTGACTTTGAGCTGACTTTGAGCATATTCCCTTAGGGTGTCTGAGTCACAGTTTTCTCAAATGAGGGGACTTGAGGAAGTCTGTGGAAATTTCTGACTTAAAAGATAAGTTCGTCTCAGTCCAAAAATAATTGAAATCTGTCATTTTTTTCTTTTTAAGATTTTTATTTATTTATTTGACAGGTAGAGTTACAGACAGTAAGCAAGAGAGACAGAGAGAAAGGCCTTCCTTCCATTGGTTCATCCCCCAAATGGCCGCTATGGCAGGTGCTGTGCTGATCCAAAGCCAGGAGCCAGGCGCCTCCTCCTGGTCTCCCATGCGGGTGCAGGGCCCAAGCACTTGGACCATCCTCCACTGCCCTCTCGGCCCACAGCAGAGAGCTGGACTGGAAGAGGAGTGACCAGGACTAGAACCCAGTGCCCACATGGGATGCTGGCGTCGCAGGCAGAGGATTAGCCAAGTGAGCCACGGCGCAGGGCCCCTGTCATTTTTTTCATAGTATGCATTTTCCTTAAGGTTTTCGAAGACCACTCCTAAGCATGGATTTCAAAAATTTTTATACCAAAACATATTTGTCTTTTAACTCCTTTTTCCATGAGCTTTGCAGTATCCTCAAGCAAAAATTAAAGATATTTGTAACAATCTTTCCACGGGTGTTTTGTGGGGCTTAGATGAGAAATAATAAGAATGGTCAAATGTACTTTACATTTTTCCCATACCTGCTCTTTAGAACATGGCCTGTATTTTACCATCATAGCACGTCTCCAGTAAGATTAGTCCTGTTTCAGGGCCTCGAGGGTCATGTGTGCTCGGGCTGCCCTACTGGTGTGGATTCCAGACACTGCACCATTGGAGAGAGCTCTCCTGGAGAGTGCGAAGAGAATGGACAATTCTTAATTGTTCACTACTGTTTCCCCAGCACCAAAACCTTGTCTGGCCTATGGTAGACACTTATTATTTCCTGCTGTAGATTTTTGAGCACTGTAGCTGCCTACACTGACCAGGGAGACTGTGTTTAAGGCAGAAGGGTTGGCGGGGTTGGCACATGCAGTGGCAGTAAGCCATGAAAGATCATAATGTATTTATGGAAACACAAGACCATTGGTATAACTGGCAAGTGTGAAATGATGAAAAAACTGGATTTTCCAGCCACTAAACTAATCAGGGAGTGATATTAGAATTAATTTCTAGAGAATTTGCTTGGACAGATGCATAGAATGGAAGTTGAGTTCTAGCTGGGGAAAATAAAAAAAGAAGAAAATAAATTAGGAAGATACTAGAATATAGACAAGGGTTTCCTAATAGTGCATGACGGAATCTTAGACTACAACATTTTTTTGTCTCAAGGAGGGGGCTGTCCTGTGGTATGTAGGGTGTGTAGCCTCATCCCCGGCCCTAGCCACTGGATACCAACAGCACTGGCCCAGCTGTGACAACCCAGGAGGTGTCCAGACATTGTGACGCTAAGCCAGACTGCAGCTCATTTGCTCAGTGTTCAGCATTGATGTTCTTGGGTCTGGGGAGCCTTGCGTCTTTAAAGGACTCTGAGTGGTACAATGGAAAGCTAAGACGTATCTCCTGCCCTCAGAGAATTGTAAATCTGGCCATTGAGGCGGGAGGTACCCAGGAAGCATTTCAGGAGGAAGGCATAGGCAGTGTGTGCTTTAACACCCAGATGAACAGTGGAGTTATTGGTGGCTTAGAATGTTGAGAAGGGGGTGGGACTTCAGGGGCAGACCTCACAGGGAAGGCCAAGGCTGAGTCATCGAGGTACATGTGCTCGTGTTGTACAAATGGGGTTTGGGTAGCTGGGACACAGACGTGTGTTTTTGGTAGCATGTGCAAAATGGGCAAAGTTCTGAAGGCACAAAGAAATGTGGAGCCATCAAAGCCTCTCGACAAGGATCATGAGGCTCGGGTCAAAGGGAAATATTGGGCCAGTGAGGTCAAGCAGGGGTGTTAGGTCACATGAGGGTGGTCCTTGAAGATCAGGGCCACGAGTTTGTGTCCATTCATGTATTCATTCATCCATCAAGTCCCTATTCTATACCTAGAGCCTGGCTCCTCCAGTTGCCTGCCTCTTCAACTTTTCCACCGGAAGAGCTTTCTTGCAGCAGGCTGTGAGCCCCGCTGCTGTGGAGGAAGGGCACGTGGAGGAACCCAGCCCCTGGTGTGTTCGGGCACAGCCCAAGCCATTAGCAGATGCAAAAACAGCACATGCCTGGCAGAGCCCAGTGACCCTGGGGGAGGGACGGATCATGATTTTCACAGGCATTGTGATTTTCCATTTTAATATTTCATGTGAATCCTGCATTTAACCGCAGGAAATGTCGTCTTTCCGTTTAATTTAATGATTACATTTCTACCTCACTCCTAGATTTCAAGCAAAATTTATGTTTTCAAAAGATGCAGCATTTCTTTATCTTAGAGCTTTTTCTACTAGCTGCATGCCCCCCAGAGCCTCATTTCTCCCCAACACCACAAAAACTGTGTAAGCTCTGGTTTGAGAAGTACAGTCCCTGGGATGTGGGGAATGATTTGAGATCACTCAGCTGGAGAACAGGGTTTCTAGAACTTGTGTTTATGGAAAATCCATGCACAATTCATGCAAAGAAACAGGAACGTTAGAAAGTTTGCTTTGTCTCAATACAAGGAAATTCATAATGTAGATAAAGATGGTACCTATGGAAAACAAAGGGATGGAGAGAACAGGGACATTGGCTTCTGAAATAACTGTGTGTTGTGGGTGCCATTAGAAGGTGGGATTCATCACACACGGTTATGATGCTACTTCTTCCATATCTTTGCCCTCTGGACTGTGTATTTTCTCGGGATAAGAACTGAATCTGGTTTGCTCACATGTTATTACCAAGGCCTGACACAGAAGCAGGCTGTCAGTCACTGTTTTTCTAAGGGCTGATAGAAATGGCTTGTGGGAATGGGGACTAGCAAGAAGCCATATTGGGAGAGAGGGGATGAGTGAGTGCAGGTTGGGACACGTTGTGAGTGTGCTGACATGGGCTGCAGGTCCTCTCTGGTCAGTGAGGGGCCATCAACTCAGTGTGGACACCAGGGATGGGGCTGCCCTGGTAGTCCCCATGCGGCAGATACCAGCCCAGGCGCTGCACTCAGATCCACACGAGTTGTGGGTACTGGGGAATAAACTGGCCAGGGGACATGATGAACCCCGAACTTTGAATGAACAAGACCTTAGAAACTTCCGGAAGAAGCGTGGCCCATAGCAGATGAGTTGGAATCAGGGCTCAACTCTGACGCCCAGTGCCTGAGCACCGAGTTCCTCATGGGGACATAGAAATGTTAAGGGCAGCATCGTAGGGCTGGCTGCCCGGGAGAAGCGGCATCCTGCGTGGGAGATCCCAGCACTCTGCCAGGCACGTGGGAGTCAGTGCTAGCAGCAGTCACCACAGTTAGTCCCTCTGAATTCTCCTGCTCCGGGCCTGCAGCTGTAGGGTGCCTGAAACCCCAGCCCTCTGGTCAGGGCATTGTCCGTGGCTTGAATGGGTATTTGTTAGGCGCACACCACATGTCAGGCCCTACGTCGGACTCTGGGGACACAGTGGTGGACAAAAGCAGGCGTGTAGTCCACCCTGTTACAGCTCACTGTCTGTGCTAGGCAGAGTTCCTCAAAGAAACACGAGCAGTATGGCTGAGTGGGCGATGTGTGTGAGATCCCAAGACCTGTGCCCAGCAAGCAGAAGCCCAAAGAGAACCAGTAATGGTGGCTGGTTTTTTTTAAAGGTTTTTTCTATTATTATTATTATTATTATTATTATTATTATTGAGATGTATTTATTTGAGAGGCAGTTACAGACAGGGAGAGAAGAAGAAAGAGGTCTTTCATCTACTGGTTCACTCCCCAAATGGCTGCAATGTCTGGGCCTGAGCCGATCCAAAGCCAGGAGCCAGGAGC